TTACCACCAATGAGACAACAGCCAAGAACGAACATTTGCCCAGTTCTCAACCCGTGGTGATTGGCATTCATCGAGGAAACCAAGCCTGGAGGCTCTTGACAGATTGGCTCAAACAGCACAGCCTGAACGTCATTGACGTTCTTGAAAACGGCAATTGCCTTTTTGGTGCTCTCTTCGCGGCAGTAAGCGGATTCTCGGGCCCCGGCAAGATGAAGTATTGGGATGGCGTGGAAAAGGAAGCTCAAGTCTGGAAGGAGCGCATTCTAGCGGTCTGTCAAGAATATGTGATGCTGGAAGCTGAGGGAGGAGCCATGCGTTTGCCCAACCTTCGACAGAGACTGGTACTCTATCCCTCGGAAGAGTGGGTTACGTCGGAAGATCCTACTCAAATCATGATCAACTGATCCGGCATTATGCTGAAACGGGAGATATTCAAGTTCAAGACTTGACTCCATACGTATTCTGAGGGCGAGCAGCCGAGCTGCATGCTGCGGCAGGCCGTCTACGAGAACCAATTCACATCATTGAAGTCGTCGACAAAAGACATGTTCAGGCCCGGCGATATTGCTACCAGAACAAGACCGGTATTGACGGAATCTCCAGAGAAATAGGGTGCGACTTCAACATGACGATTCTTGAGCTCAACAAGTTCATGCGAACAGCGCGACAACATAGAGTGGTGCCAACTATGCTCCTTTACAGAAGGCGACGGAACGGTGGAGACCATTTCCAGGCACTCAAATTCGAGGATCACCTCTACCAAGACTTCTTAGTTCAGGAAACGACGCGCGTACACCCAAACATGTGCGAGCGAATGGATGACGTCCATAGTATCCTGAATATGCCGCCAGTCGACGCTAGCCCTCAATGGGAATTTGATTTACAAGAGGATGAGGAGAGGCACGAAGCTGCACAACAACTAATGTCAACATCTCAGGATGGAACGACCGTGGAAGATTGAGTGGTGAGAGGAGAAGATCGCGAAGCATACCTACGAATTCTTGGACTTCAAGGCCCAAATAAAACTTGGACCAACGAAGATCAGGAACGGAGAAAGAAGATGATGCAAGCCAATCTCACGAAACCGAAAGAATGGACGGCGAGCGGCCGTATCAACGGTCTGAAGATGAAAGCTGCAAAGTTGAAGACATTGAGCGCTTCCAATGAAGCAGTTTTCGGCCTTCTTAAACAACTCTCCTACTCCTTACCTTATCCTGAGCTTGCTGCCCAAGTGATCGGGAATTAGTGTTTGACCAATTGAGGTATACATCAAGCGGTCAGAGCCCAGGTCGATTACCTTCACCGCCTCGATGCACATTTGAAGAAGCAAGAGGCAAGCAATCCATTAAAGAGTGGTTAAACTCCATTGATAGCGCTGACCAACAAAACAGAACAAAATGGAATCTAGCAAACAACTCGGACAGGTGGGAGCGACTGAAAGCAAGGGTTCCTACAGCGCTCTCAGGACATGCACATCTCGGTTTGGATAAGTCGAAATGGGCTTTAGCCAGCTTCCTCCCGTACATAATCTTCCCTTGGAGACCGATTTGCGGAGTGGACCGGACGCCAGTGGGTGAAGACGAGAGGAAGGATGTTTGTCTGGAAGATATCGCATCAGCTTTCAAAAAGAACGACCAAGTACGCGCGGCTATTCGAGCTATCTTGGATAAGAAAGATTAGAGGCCTGCCATCAAGGTTGGAATCAAGCTGACCCAACAGATGGACGTCGGCCCGACCTGGCCATCGCTGGAATCAAA